GGCAATCTCGTATGATGAAAACTCAGCGTGCATCATGTCCAGTAAAGTGCCTTCAGAATCTTCCAAGGCATCCTGCAAACAAAACATAGTGACAAATAGCAAAGGTCAGCTGACAGCCCACTGGCCATATACAGTACAGACTGATACAACAGCAGTGGCTTTTGCATGGACAATGTTCTGTCTAAAATTACAGAGAACAAATACAGAATCTAACTACAGTTATTCAAAATTTAAAACAAAAAAGCTTTCATGTGTAATAAAAATCAATGAGCCATCACAATCAATCACCATCAGACAAGTTGTAGCCATGTTCCAGTGCGATCCTCAGATTCACCTTACTTAACACTTCTCGACAAATCCACAAAATATTTGGGTGAGACGGAAAAGCTTAGAACGGAGGACTACTGAGGGTAAAGAAAGCTGATTTTCACTTCTTCAGTAGTTTTATCGTTGGACAATACACAAATGATCTACCAAATGTCATCGTAAAGACGTCACAAACCACAGAATGTTACCCAAGTTCAGCATCACTTCCTCACATGGAGATTCAGAAGAGAAAGAATTTCATTTTGTGTATAGCACACCTGTTTTACTAGCACAAAAGCAGGGAGGTTCTGTGTGCCACTAATATGACTTCTTCAAAAGCTACAGCTCAAAAGATGAACAGTGTTCACATCAGTCGATATTACCTAATCCTACCTCAATATTTCAAATTATAACAAGCGGATAAAAACAGTTCTCTAATTACTAGGTTCTAGTGACAATTATAATCACTGGTACACAAACAAGTCCTTATCGTTAATTCTAACTAATATTTCAATAAGTAACAGACAAACATTATTCTCAATAAAATCTTCTCGGGCGACAAGCCATGTCAGTTGTGGCCCGACATTTCAGAGAGCGTCTCCACCTCCGTCATCAGGGGAATGAAGTGAAAATTGACATTGATGATGATGTGGCCTCGCGCTTAAGGAGATTCAATGACGCGTTCAGCCACACGGTGCAGGAATAATGCTTTGTAACACAAACTGTCTACAAACCAACTGATTTCTGCAATAACCATTAGACTTATATTTAAATATAGGTTATAAGTCTAAAAAGTATGCTGATGATTCACGTGGTGGTGATGAAGTCTCTTATGGCACCATTTGCCATTTTAGTAGGTTTACCATTATTAATGCATATTGAGATTTTATGAAGGAGAAGGAGTCGGAGTCCATCTCCACCAGGTACACCCTAATATCCACAAAGGAGTTTCTAGCGATAACAAACAATAATACCTGATCATAAAGCATTGATGGTACGGTGGAGAAGTGTTCTTCATCATGAAAGTTCAGGAAGCCTGTTTCCATGACAGGTTTCTTGTACTGGAGAGTTATCAGCCTGAAATGAATAATCTTAAACAGCACGGCCAGAACTTCAATTTCAAAACACGGGAAATAGCACTCTGGGGAAATAAAATGTAAAAAAACTTTGCAACACACAGACTATATAGCACATGCCACCACCTGCCATGGAACTTATCAAAATCTGTAATTTATAAGCACTTACACATGCATAATACCATACTCTGGCATAACCTAATGCCACCAAATACACTTTTGCTGGGAAAATATATTTGTTTCAATGTTGCTAGTGTAACTATAATTGTCAGATAGTAAACATCAAAATGCTATGTGTGTGTGTGTGTGTGTGCAAGAAGCAAATGCAAACAGAAAATAATTTATTTACATTCCATCAATCCTTCATAGGCCTACGCCAAGAACATGTCATACCACAAACACAATACTTGTTTCTAATACAAATATAAATTATATAGCAAAAGGCTGTAATACTGTAAGTCTATAAAGATAAAGGCAGATGTACCCATTTGCTTTAATCATGAAGATGTCTAAGGGAGTGGAATTAAATCTCCATGCATTCTTAACTCCTTCACTGTGGAGCTTGATGTAATGCCAAGCACACTACCATCCAATTTTCAAGAAACTAGCATTGTTGAAATTTCAAACTTTGCAGACCTGCAGATCTCTCATTTAAGTGTCAATATTTTTCCTGGATGGGACAATAAGTTGTTTTTGCCTACGCTACATGCAATTTTACCCATAAGATGTGGGAAGCTTCAACTTCGTATTTCAAGTCCCAAATTGTCGTTAACATCGTCATGTTATGCAGTAGTCATGGCTTCTTTTACACATAAGCACAATGCAAAAGATGACCTTAACATACACTTATTTGCAGATTCTGAATCTGATGACAAATGTCAGGAGAATAAGTGCTCTAAAGAATAAAATAAAATTTTAAAAAAATTCCAATTTACTTGTATAGAAAAGGAATTTTAAACTAACAACAATTATGCAGACAAATAGATAAACCTTAACACTATATGGGCCTAAGTAGTCACCTTCACACTCCATTTTACTCTGGGGAATATCACAACACCCAATCTATACATATGGCCCCACAGCCACTTCTGGGGAAATTCAACAGACAGCAAAAAAGTATTTTACATTCAAAAGAGGATCATTAGAAAAATGGCAGGTACTAAAAGGACAGCCTCTTGTAGGCAATTATTTAAAAAGTTTCATATTCTTGCTCTAACTATTATCATTTGTAGTGGATAACATGGTAAAATTTCAAACAAATTCAGATATTCACAATATAAGAACAAGGTACAGATATAACCTCCACGTGCCAAATTCTAACCTCAGTAAATATCAAAAATGAGTTTACTATACTAGAATTAAGTCATTCAATAATCTTCCACCTACTATAAAATGTTTAAACCATGACATAACAAAGTTCAAGCAAGCGTTAAAGGGGTATCACCTATCTCACTCCTACTCAGTAGAACAATTTATAAACACATATAAGTAAAGATGGTGATGGTTTCTAATTATAATTATTTTGCTATAATACTGTACATTTCAAAAATCTGTGAATAGCATTTATATCTTTGTATTTATATTTGTACTAGAAACAAGTATTGTATTTGTGCTATGACCTGTTCTACATCCTTGGCTTGGGTTTATGAAGGATCTACAGAATGCACATAAATTCTATTCTATTTTATTCAACATAACAATGAAGAGAAAAGTTTCTGTTCCTGTAAGCATCAAATCCCAGTCATAAAGAATCCCAGTTCACCAGAAAGCTGAACACTGCTAATATCACAGTTCACCAATAAGGTACTTTAGGCCTATTTACTACTAGCGTGTCTCAAACACATGCTTCTGTGACATGGCTCAGAGAACAAAGTGTGCAAATGAGTCCTGTATTAAAGTATAAAGCAATGACTTTCAACAGAGAAGATAAATCACATAAAATGTATGAATTCCACTTTAAATACTTTGGTACAGATTACAACTTCATCATACAAGGTTTATAGCTTAATTCTGAGATGCAAGCTGCTAATGAATTGCTAATTTAAATTATTTGGACTTTTTCAATCATTATGCTTCCTCAGGTGAAACTACACAGTTAAGCCTGTTAGAAGCAGCTAATCTCCATCTGCAGATGACTGAGAGAGTCCAAAAAATTGTAATTACTAATTCAACACCACTGTCAATAATATTTAAAGATAAGATAATAATGGTCTCATCTTCCCAGAAAACCGCTTTTGTTTCAAACACGAAACAGAAATTCCTGCGCATTTATAACAATTCGAGATCTAAAAGGTGGCTTCTTATGGCAAAACGTACTAATCTTTAAATGAAATTACCTGATGGCATTATACTATTTACTGGAGGCAATCACCGACTGCTACAAAATTGAGGTTATAAAACGATGTTGGTGTGTATGTGTATTCCCCACAAAACAGCAACCTCAATCCCTCGATCGAGTATTGTACATAATTAAACTTCCAAATTTAGTCAATGTCGTACACAGCGAGACCCGGTATTGGAAAGAAATAAAACACTTCAGTAAGAACTTGCCCCACTACTTACTAGATATGTACGAACTTTTTCTCAAAATAAAAAGATAAAATAAGATTTTTGAGGTTCATGTACATATGGGTAAGTATATTTCTGGGCCTGAATTGCACATATGACTATTGCAGGTGTACGGCCGGCGCCAAATATTACATGCCACAAAGCATGGAAATTCCGCGTTCAACACTTGCCGGATTACAACGATATGGAATGAAGTTCTCTTCTGTGTGACACCTAAGGCTTCATTCGAAACACATAATTTGTATAGACGTACACTAATGAAAAACCTACATGCCCTTTCACATAACTTATTAATAAAAGGTCGTGATATTTTTAGGCGAAAGAAAATAGGCACAACAAAAAAAACACGCTCCCAAATCTACCACATATTCCGAGTATGAGACTGTTAACATCTTATTATCAACCTACAACACTCTTATACAAACAGAGATAATCATAAATTATGACGTTACATCATTAAGTACATTATTTAATGTACACTTACAGTGTAATCCGAAAGTACCAATATTTGTCACATGTGGTTCCTTACTCGCTTGCATGCACATCAACACACGCGCACACACACACAATACCCGACCAGCACCACTGATCACGTGGGTAGATTTTTCTACTTTCCCCTATAGATGGCAGAATTTTAAACGAAAAATAGTTTGAATAGAAACCCATCATGATGTCAGACACCGCTTATTAAAAACTTTTATTCCAGAAAATGTGCGTTAAAATATAATTCCACAATTTAACTCATTACGTAATATGAATTTACAGTCAAAGTTATGAATGAGCAAAACGCTCATTCATAATTAATACTAATGAAAGGAAAGCAAAATCATAACAGCAGAAATTAAATTCCTTTTAGGAAACAGATGGACCATAAAATATATTTGAACAAAATGAAGTACACACACAATCAGACTCACAATTCAAGGAAAATTACAGAACGACAAAAACCATGGTCATCAAATTCCCATTCAATATTGTAATTTAAAATTCTTTGTTAACATGGACAAAGTCCTCTTGAGGCCCTACATATACTGGCATAAGATGAAAACAAGCCATTATGCCAAAGATGTGGAAAGCTGATAATACAAAATTACTCATTCATCAGAATATTCTTAGCATAAATAAGATAAAAATATTAAATGATACCAAAAGGATATGAAACATTTCCAATTGTATCTAAAAGGAGGAGTTCCAATCAAAAAGCCTGATTTACTGTAGATTTCTAATCCTACAATCCTTGCACTTAAAATGTTTATCCAACAGAATGCCTGTCCTTTAGTCCAAGTGAAGAACATGAATGGAGGATGTTTAAGAACAGGTGTTGACAGACTATGGGCCTACAGGAAAATTGTACAATGAGGAGCTTTTATATCTGTAATTTCCATCAAATATTATTATGGTTATGAAATCAAGAAACATGAGACCAAAGGGCATGTAGCATGCATACAAATTTTACAGGAAGAAAATTAGGTGGGAGATCAGTCAGGAGACTTACGAGTATGCATAGGTCAGAATGGATATTAAAAAAATACAATCTGAAAAAAAAAAAAGTGGACTGGACTCATCTGGCTCAGGACAGGTTCACACAGCAGGCTTATTTGAACACAGTAATAAGGCTTCAGGTTCTAAGAAATGCAGAGATCTTTTTTGACTAGCTGAGTGACTATTATCTACTTTGTGCCATGGAACTGCTTAATTAGTTCTACGGATCTTGCAACTGGTGCAAATCTCACGGAACCTAGTTCAGCATGGAAGGTGTTCATCAACAGTTGGACACAATTTCTATGAAATGTGTTGCTATGCAGATAGCGACACTACACAATCAAATAAAAGCATAGAACATGGACTATGGAATAAACACAGAAAAGGATACAAGGCTTTGCATCTGTACCTCTTAACAAGGATTTCTGAATACAATCTTTAATGAATAGAAAGGAAAAAAAAGCTTCTATTAAGGAATGTCAACTGTTTGTACATAAAATGCTTTTCCTTTGAAGATGCCACCTTAATGAACTTAAAATCCTTCTGGGACAACCTTTGCAACCTTCCGAGGTTCCTTGATGAAGGTTTTCGGGCATTGCATCTCCATCCAGCTCACAGGAACCATCGCAGAACCTAAGACAGAAGACAGTATTCAAGAATATTTGTGTCAACCTGGAAGTTTTATGTTGGCAAGTTCTGCGTAAGATTTATTACAGACATATTAGAATGTGCTTGCAGAAATATTACCAACAATTAACGAGATCAGAAAGTTGCAATCTGCACACAGTTTCCACATGTTCTTTGCAGCCAGGCATATATATCATATACGTCCAGACAGCATAACGATTGTGCGAGTTACCAATTTAGAGTCTCACAGTGATTCATCTGACCTCCTAAATTAATAAATAAAATTCTAGGTATCATTACCCTTGTGCGCTACTTCCTACAATCCAATGTAGCTCAAAAGTTAGCTTCCTCGGCTTGTGTAAAGACACCAAGAGTAATTACAAACCCTCTAGGGTCACATTTTCTTTGGTCTATCTTCAGTCTACTGATTGTAAATGCAAATATGTTACAGAAGTTATTACTACAATTAGGAGCTATTATCATCATCATCATTAGTGAGATTCTATGTTAATTGCCTGATGACCTAAAAATGTTGTCGCCATGTTTGTAATTGTTGGACTTAAAAACAATATTTCATGTATAGACTCATTTGCAGGCAAATTTATAATCAATCTCGATACCAAATTTATATGCCTGGCCATAACGACTCATTAGTTACTGCTGTTAACACTGAAGAGAATGTACATTTCTGAATCATTTTAACGCAATTTGCATATTTTTCAATTACCTGTTACTATCACTGCAGGGAACTACATTAAGCAGGGAAAATGTCATTCCTGCCCTACAACGTTTCACATATCACCACCAACTGTTATTATCAACTGCAAAAAAATAAGGTGGTGGCCTCCAGTGGCATAACCTTCATATCAAATTTTGAGGAAATGTGTCCAACACCTCTTCAGTTACAAGATGCAAACAAACAGACACAGTTAACATATACAGAACGATTCAAAAGGTTAGGGCAAAACTGAAGGAGCGTATTGAGGGACTCAGAGAGAACAACTTTCGAATAGGAATCCATGTCCTCCGATGTTATCCTGAGTCAGTCGAGGCCGTTGAAGATGGACGTCTGATAACATACCGCTGAAATAATCTTACTTTGCTATTCTACTAGCTTAATTTTGTTTTTTTATTAATGTACAATGATTAAATTAGCAATCTTACAAACCAAATTTACAACAGGTATGTTATCAGACGTCACTATCTTCATTGGCCTCGACTGACTCACGATAACTTCGGAGGACATGGATTCCTATTCGAAAGTTGTTCTCTCTGAGTCCCTCAATACGCTCCTTCAGTTTTGCCCTAACCTTCTGAATCACCCTGTACACATTCATACCAATGCACCTTGTGCAAAGTGTGCATGATAACCAACTTCGTGATAGAGAATCTTCCTCGAAGAGTCAACAGTTAATCAGCATGTCATAAAATCATTCTTTATGGAACATTAATGTTCACAGAAACCAGCCACTGAACTATGTTCTGCCAGTTCTTTCCTGGTCATGTCTTCATTTTAATATTCTCCTCCAATCTACATCTGCACATTCCCTTGAGGTTCTCAAATAAAACATACATAGTTGTTGGAATATGGCTGTCTTCTGGGTCATTGCGCCATGTAGTCTGGTAGAAGTTTACCAATGTTTCAGAAGTTCTTCCCACCTCCAACATCGCCCTGATGACGGAGGCAGCAAGGACCTCTGAAACGTCAGTAAACTTCTACGAGACTACATGGCGTGACGACCCAGAAGACAGCCACCTCCAGACTCGCCACCATAAAAACATCTAATCCTACTACATAGGTGTTGTTTCATCCAGCAGCTACACGACAACTTCCGTAACATTCTTATAAAAAGTTTTTAATGTGTTCACAATATACAACAAACAATTCTCAACTAGAATGCCTTTACACATGTGCAAAAATGTGCAGCTATAATTCTGACGCCGGCCCGTACCTGAGTCGCTGTACGCCATCACAACACCAAGCTCATTCTCTGCTGTTGATAAGTGATACGTGTGCACTTCAGTGACTGGAAGCTGGGAGTGTGATAAGGAATCTTGAACAAAGTTTTTGCATAAAACTCCAGCACATTCACTGATAAATTTTAATGGAACTGTCACTTCTTGGCTCCTGGCAGGAAATGCATGACAAGCACTGTTACATAAAAGCAATCAAAATAAATTCACCTTTTTCTTTAAGAGGTGCTAAAAGTTGGCCAGGAATTGACAGTTGCAGTCTGGTTCATCGGTGAACATTATATATAATCTGCAAGATTACATACAAAGAAAAAGCGTCAATATTCTACACCATTCCATAAATAGCAAGCCTCTGACACTAGAAAAGGAGATAAGGATCAAATGCTTAAGCCTCTTCAGCAAACGTCCACAAAATGTCACTACACCGTAAAGGTATCCCCAAGACAAGGACTGAAGTCCAGTCTAAAACCTGGGGATTATGCCTCATAATATCAAGAACATGAGCACAAAAGTCAAACCTTGACTAAGGGGCCAGAATTCTAATAAATTCTTATTTTTATGAACAAAAGTTGAGAAGGATACGACCCTGGCCAATATAATATCGCCTGGTCTGAAGCTTTTTATCATCTCCACATTGTTTTTCTCTGTTGCACGAACATCTTCTTTGAGTACGACAGCTCGGTAAGGTCGTGTCAGAACCGTGTCACCAATACATTTAATGACACATTTGCAGAACCTCTGGGTCACTATAGTCACCTGTCACAAAACAGAATAACATGATAAAAATCATCATAATCACAGATACTTGCCTGAGCAACAAATTTCAGACGCTGGCTGTATCAGAATCTTCAAAAGTTACTAAATCCACGTGAATAGAGAGAACTCAATTCCTCTCTATGGCAGATTTTTTTTTTTTTTTTTTTTTTGAAGATATTATACAAACTCTAGGAGGTGAGAAGATTAAGTTGATGAGCAGGTCAGGAATGTTTTTACATACCTAAAAGTTCAAAGGTGTCTGGCATGGCTTTGCTAATGAACTGTGTCCTGACCCAATAGAACTCAATCCACATCCTACCATCCAATTTCTTATTAAGATCTATTTTAATATTATCCTCACATCAACATTTATGTCTCCAAAATGCTTTCCTCCCTTGAGGTTATCTGCCAAAAACCTTGTATGCATTTCTCACTTCCCCCCCTACACAGTACATGTCCACCTCATCCTCCTTGACTTTATTTCATAGTTTGAAAATAACAACAAAATAGTAACTCTCAGAAAGATGGCAAATCCAAAATTTATTTAATGATAATTTCACAACTGCTACTACCCTAACACTAACTCTTTGAATTTATTATATACAAGGTTTGTATGGGTGGCACTAATGCAACTCAATCACAAACATATGACATAATATCTGCCTTATTTTGACTAAAAGAACAGGATACATGCACTCTGTTCCATTGCAAATCAGCCCATGCAGGTAATGCTAAAAAAAATTAGTTGCTGCTGCTTATATCTTACAGTACCTTGGCCGTCACTATATCACCTGGAGCCGGGATAATTCCCTGTTCTTTGGTGCTGTGCACTTCGATTATGGAAGACTGCAACAACAAAAAATGCTTATTAAGGCACTAAAATCCTCTTGGGCGATCAGATGCGTCTTAGTTCAGTAAAAGAAAAAAAAGTTTCGAACACCCATAGTCTCCACCATCAGGGTCGATGTCTTCGAAACTGTGGTTCTTACTTCACCTTCGATGTGCATTTATTCATCACAAAAGTTACAAATACGACTTAACGCTTGTAAAGATTATACAGAATGTAAAACGTTAAAGCCCATGCATGACAATGAAAACCATGGTCTTTCAAACAAAATTAAGCAAAATACCCTTTCCTCCTTTACGACGTTCACAACACCAGCAAGTGTCGAATATATATATCCATTCCTCTCATATGTACCGCAACCAGAGATATGTTGCTTGTCAGCCAGATATAACCTCTGACCTACGAATTACAAAACACATTATACTCATAAACTGGCATGCAAAACCTCAGTACGATACGTTTTCGTGCAACATAACCTAATTACAATACGCAATTCTTTAATTAATACAACCATTTCTTACAAAAAAATAGTAAATTCAAGAGTTACAAATGTATTAAATCGTATCTGACCGGGTATACACACGAAATCTGTGTTCTCCATTCTAATTCTAGTGATATACAATACTTCAAACTATAACCTAAAGAAACTATTTTATCCTACATAACGACCATACGCTATTGCAAACAATGTATTCTCTGACAGCAATGGTGCCAACATTTGAAACTGCGTATATGTATCATACAATCTCAACAGCAAATTCTCGTTTTGGTCACAAGGCTCTGTTTATCATTTCCAGCAATGCGTTTCGTACTCAGGAACGGTGTTATCTAAGAAGAGACGATGTCTTGTGCAGAACTCCGCCCTTAGTTAGCTTTTCCGTTGGTTGTTCATAGCAATGAACTGCAATCAGAAATTCTTGTACGTAGGTTATCGCGGCTGGAGTTCAAAGCATAATTTTCGTTTTTGCGAAAGCCGCGTCTTATATTTGGCGGCAACAAATATTTCGGCAAACATTGCAGTCACCATTTCCAAGGTGGATGAAACGGGGCGACATACAAATTAAAAATCTGGTAGCAATAACAGAGCAAATGCACCAGAACTGTTATGCTATGCATGCATTTCATAACTTGCTATTAAATAGAATGCTGAAGAACAATATTTATAAATATTGTAAGCATTCATATAACCTAATATATCTTGAATAAACATTTCCTTGGATATTAATTCCAAAGATATGGTGGTGTAGAGAAGAATACACAGCGTACAGTCACCCCTTTTATTTAGCAGTTTAACTCAGTGTTACTGTATATGATTTCAATATTAATATACCATAACCATATATATTACATTACATTTCAATGCATTATGTTACATATTAAATTACAGTTACATTTTAAAACCCCCGTTATCCTACACATTTCAACACAATGATGCCATTTTCATACATACATACATCTTTATTACATTCCATGGATCCATAAGTTAGTCAGATGACAATAGGATGTGGAATAAGTCATAATAATATAATACATGTTATACAAATACAAGTCATACTATTATATAAATATCACATAATACAAACAAAGGGTTCACCTAAAGAAATGATAAGTTACAAATAAATCCACCCATTACATACAATAGATAAATTACGACTTACTTGTAAACATTAGAAAATCATCGACAGAGTAAAAGGAGTGTGTAATTAAGTATCTTTTTGATGCTGGTTTAAGTAGTGCCTTTTTATTTACAATACTTGTGAGACTGTTGAAAATGTTGATCCCTGCATAATATGCACTCTTCCGAAAACATGAGAGGTTGGCAACTGGTCTATGAAGCTGATTTTTATTCCTTGTGTTGACGCTGTATACAGCAGAATTAGTTTGAAAGAGTTCTTGGTTATTTACAATAAATTTCATTAACGAGAATATGTATTCACATGGAAGAGCTAAGATCTCTAATCTCTTAAACAGACTTCTACATGAATTCCTAGGTTTAACACCAGCCATTAATCTAACATATGAGCTTCAATTATCCTTTTTTAAAAACCTGCCTGGCAGCTTATTATATAAAACTGGATAACTCCTAATACATCGTTGTGATGGTCTACAGTAGTGTACAGCTTTATAATAGTGTACATTGTAGACAGTGTTCATTTGTTGTAATTACTGTTGCGGCCCAATTTCAATTATTTTCATCTTGGTATTTTTGCTTGGATGTGCTGTCAGTGGCTGCAGATATAATATAGTTTTCAGCATAATAATCTGAATTACTAGTGCTCAAGACAGGAAGGTTTTTAACTGAAACTCATATGTTTTAATTTACAGTATAACTAGGAAGTTATAAATAATGCATTAGATAGAAACTTAAAATAGGCAGCATAAATAATTACATCAAATGAACAGCGTAAAGTATCAGAAGAGTCATGGAGTAACTATTATGCTGCCCAGGAGTTATTTAAAACAGGAAGTTACAATGGAACAAAAAGTTATAAATAGCATGTTGACAGAAATGTATATACAATTTCAGAACTTCAATTATTATTTGTAAGCTTTAACAGTTTAATACATAATGACGTAAACCTGAAGATGGCACCACAATGCTGAAAAATTAAGGATAACTAATGTTTTAACATAAAACTGTACTTGTAAATTAAATATTGTATAAGATATTTATATAAAATCAATACATACAGCCAGCGACACTATTGAGGTACAAAAGTCTAACAGTGCAGGCAAACAACTTGGTTGTGATGAAAAATTTAAGTCCAAGGGTCGTGGCAAAACCCCATTCTCATGTAATCTTTCTCAAATCAAAACATTCATGTGGTTATGATGGAATATCAACAAAATCACTCAAAAGCTACACAGACTATATTGTTGTTCCCTTAAGTTACCTGTGCAATCAATCAATGACAATAGCAGTTTTCTGAGAACACCTTAAATATTGAAAAGCGAGACCTCTGTATAAAAAAGGGGGAAAATCACGAATCATTTCATTACAAACAGAATTCTCTAAAATATTTCATTATGTTGTGTATAAGAGAGAAAGTGACTTCTTAAACTCAAACATCATCTTTGCAGCAAAGAGTTTGGACTTCGAAAAAATCCCTATTCAATTATACAAATTAAAACTTATGTGCTCTTAATAACATTGTGCATGTTGGTTTAATATCTTGCATTTTATAGTGTAATCATGAATTACTACTAACAAAACTAAGTTTTTATGGAATTCGAGGTACAGCTGGATAATGGTTTAAATCATACCTTCTTGACATGAAACAGCACGCAGAAATAAAATCATGAGATGCATACCATAGCACCTGCTCAAACTGGAGTGTTATAAAATATGGAGTTTCTGCAGGTTCAATTATTGGTCCTCTGCTATTCCTCATAAATGCCAATGATCTGCCTGCAACCCTCAGTCTAAACCTCTACTCTTTGCTGGTGATACTAGTGATATTATTTCACATCCACAAATTATTATTATGAATTATGTCTTTACTAGCTTTAACAAATAGTTTAAAGCCAATAAACTCACATTAAATTTTAACAAAACAATCAAGAAATTTTGTAGTAACAACAAAACTTGTGTTAATCTGAACACTGTGTATAATAAAACGACGACTGACAAGTATAAACAACTAAATTTCTTGGCATAAAAATTGATAATAACTTATATTGTAAAACACATTCTCAATTCATTATCCCTAAACTAAGTTCAGGATGTTTTGCTATGAGGACAATAGCACCAATCACAAAAATAAAAACATTAAAATCAATCTACTTTGATTACTTCCATTCCATTATGCGTTGTGGGAATAGTATTCTGGGGAAATTCAACAGACCCAAAAAAGTATTTTATGACCAAAATAAATTCGTTAAAATAATGGTACTTTTAAAAGGAGAGAACCTTGTAGACAATTATTTAAAAAGCATAATATTCTCCCACTAGCTAGCAAATTCATATTTGCATTACAACATGTAAAAATTTCAGATGTACACAACTTAAATACAAAATGAAGGCATAACCCTCATGTGCCAAACACTAACCTCAGCAAATACCAAGAATTAGTTTATTACACTGGAATTGAATAATTCAATAATCTTCTTTCTACCATAGAAAGTTTAAATCATTACATAAAAATATTTAAGCCAGCACTAAAAGAGCACTTCTTATCTCATTCCTTCTACACAGTAGAAAAAATTACTTTAAACAATAATTCTCAGTTATTATAAATACGTACAATGACGGTGATGATTCCTTGATGTAATTACTTTACTGTAATACTGTACTATATTAGATATGTCTCTAAATAGCTGTTAAAACTTTGTATTTAATCTGTCGAATTATTACATATTCTACATCCTTGGCTTTGAACTAAGAAGGATCTATGGAATGCAAATAAATTATATTCTATTCTTGATTTATTTTCATATATGGCAGCTGAATAAAAAATATGTAAGTTAAATGATGATCTGGTTTGAAAGGTTCCAAAGTTGAAAACTGTTTACTTACACAAAGTAAAAGATATTAACAGTAAATGTAAATATGTGGATCAAAACAGTGAAACACAAGCCACAGTTCGTGATAACTCAAAAGAAAATAACATCACTGAACCCACAAGATGAAAATACCCATCCTCTCCTTTCCTCTTTTCTGCCAGCCTGTAGAAGAAGCAAGCACAAGGTTGTGATGAAAGACCTTAGTCTTGGAGTCTGTGCTAAAACCCATTCCCATATAATCTAGTTGAATCATCAGACTTTACACCAGTTGAAACAAAAGTTACCACAAAGTTTTCAGGGAAGTCATCGCATGTGATCTGGCTGGAAAAGTTAATGAGTTATTTTATTTAATAACTGATTAATTTGATGTATCATTTAATGAGTTATTTTTATTTACCGTAGTACAGCATGTATAAATTCTGATTCTACTGTATTCACATTTAGAAAGTACTCTACCATTTTTTTAAAAATAAATCTGAAGGCATGTTGCTTAAAAAAATTGATATGTCTCATTCAAATCTTGCCATTCAACTCTAATTCATTCACCCTGATTGGAGTACTTACCAGTTTGGTAAATTCACTACACAAGTCCTATGGCACACATTTCTGTTCCTTCTTGTTTTTGATTTTGCTTATATTCCTATAGATGCCAGCTCAATTTTGGAACCATTGTTTTCTTTGTTTAATACATTTCACTTTTGTGCTTTATTATAGTGCATACTAACGTGTTTCTTTTTACATGTATATGTAATCAATTCTAAGAAGGTAGTTAGTTATTTTTCAGATTTTTCAGGCTCTGATGACGGAGGCAGTATGACCTCTGAAACGTTGGTTAACATCGACCAGACTACACAGCGCAACAACCCAGAAGACAGAAATCTTCATACTCACCGCTGTGAAAACTTCAAATCATACACAGTTATTTTTCACTTTAATATCTTATCTATGTTGTATTCAATAATAACTTTCTTAAAACTTTGTTATAAAACAGAATTTATTTACATTCCATACAATCTTCATAGACCTAAGCCAAGGATGCAGAATGCGTGCTTTTACATTTAATTATGACATATCAAATATCAATGTATGTTGAAATACTGGCCATAAAAATGCATGAATGAATAACACAGTAATGATAACAATAAATATTAGTCACTGATAGATCCATTCACAGCCTATATCATATCAAATGTTGATTTTCTTGCACACAGGTGTTATGGCACTGGAAGATACATACAGAAGCTTCATGTCACACCTTCTGATTCTGCATGGTCTGACTTTCTCGTGTTGCTGGTTTATAATTGTACATGAAAATTGAGCATATAACAAGGGAAGCACCTAGCACAAACTGAAGAGTGATATGAAAGTCAAACAGGTATATGGATGCAACACATGAGATAACAATTGCCAAAGATGTGGCAAAGCCCTTCAGAATATTGTCAGCATACTTCACAACCAATGCAACCACTAGGCCTCCTCCAGCCTGCAAGGTGACAAGATACCATACAAAGACATCATAACCAAAAAAGAATCCATTACTGTGAATTCTAGTTCCATCATACATAAGGCAAGTGAAGAGTCCAAATGGGAGTGACAGAAAACTTAGCTGCACATTCCTCATCCACACTGAAATGTCTGAGCCTTTCAATATTTTCTCAAAGTATATTCCAGCGAAACCTGACAGAACACAAGCAGAAAGTGCAGCACCAAACCCTAGCAACCGATTCTGTTCAAAACCAGAAGGCAAGTAGGGCATGTCAGTATGAGCTAACTGTACCATCACAACACCAGTAAGAAGAATTACCAAAGCTCCCCACTGAAAGTGTTGGAGACTGCGGCGTAGAATCAATACAGTGAACATGGCTGTTGTGAGAATTTTCAGCTGATAGGTTACTTGGTATGTGGCTGCATCCAGATGAGAAGCCGAGACATACAACAAGTTATTCTGAATTATGTACACAAACGACGGTACACAAACTTTCAGAGTGTCCATTGGCTCTTTTATTATGGTGTTATGCAGAGCTGCTGTTGTTCTTGCAATGGTACCTTCTTCTTGATACACGAACAAAAGGCAAGTCAAGAGCTTCACAACTTCTGACATCACAACCGCTGTCGAAGACATGAACATGTCCCCCGATCGCGTACGGGCATACCTCATACTTAATCCTAAAACAGCGTTTTGCAATGTCAGTGTTACAAGACTCGTATATTTTAACAGTATCATTTTCCTTTGTGAATCCATGACACAAGATTTCCTCTCTGTATTCAATTGTAACAATTCTATTCACAGCTTTCAAAGATACCACACATACCGTGTTCAAACTAGTATGTTTTGGCCACATAGACACCTGAACTCGCACTTGTTCCACTTAAAAAATGACATCATCGCTGCCAAACAAACAGTCGGAGTATTTGACATTGCACGCATTTATAGCATTTGTCTGTCATTCTTGCTACATAATTATAACATTGTCATAGGTCAGCTAACAATAAGTTTTTAATTCAGAAAATTTATTTACACTAATAATGGACTATACCATGATAGCCGCGAAATGCAAAATTGTCCAGAGAGGTTAGAGACACGGTGGAGTCATTGACACGTACAACGTAACGGTATCAACTTTGCATTACCCATTTATTTTCATACAAATTATAATAATATTAATATAACATAATAAGTTATGAAATAATTAGTACGGTAGCTCTGAAGAACACACGGTTTAAGACTATACTCCAAACGTAACACACTCTCTGATATACGTGTGCGATCAACAGGGATAATGTTCACAGTTAAAACAAAATGCAGTAAATTACTACAACCTAAACGAAAGAATGCGCTTATACATCTTCCCGGAAAGTCTGAGAAAAATAACGAAAAATGTATACAATTGAGCACTAAATCTGTCGAGACTGGTAGTATACTGAATCAAGACTTCGCTATGTCTACACCAGGAACCACCAACGAACATGCCTATGGGTACCTAGGTGCTTGGGACAATTTTAAAATTTTATAATTCATTGAATATTCACTGATGGTCGCAACCAAATCTTGGTTCCGTGACATTGAGTTCAAATTATTTAGATACGTATCAGATTTCACATTTAAGTAAGAGGGGGAGTGGATTCAAATGTACCTGGTGGTGATATTTTCTAAGAAAATGGCTTATTACCCATTCCATATTTTGTTTTTGTGAGATGGAGTGTACCAAAACAATTTTGAAAAATGCCATGTTGTAAGAATACAACGTACAAATCTATTCATAATTTAATTACTTCAATTTGCAATTTCTTGGTAGACTAAATGTTGATTCCCATACTTTTTTTTGTGAGATATACCAAATAGGTTTCTTACAGGTGCTCTGCAAGTCCTCATTCTCTTACTGCATGGGACATCTGGCATTTCATGCTGTTTGGCATAGGATGAATCTTTAACGAAGTCCCACATTGTAAAGTTCAAGGTGACTGTCCAGGGACCTGTGTCAGTAGGAGTCATAATCAAAGAATCTGGTTAATCTGACCAATGCCCTGTCAAGCAACAAAGTCAGTACCTGCAAAAGACTTAGAAATATGTCCCACATGTTAGCACAGGTTTTATCTGCAGCTTTTATTTGTTAATAACAATACTGATTATAAAAACCATGCTAGAAATGTGAAAACTGTTAAGTAAACATGGATGGAGAGTTCAAGGTTTTCACATTAGCTGACTGCTATGTATCTAAAGTTCTATCCTATTATAGCAAAGTAAGAATGTGAGGAGCGTTACCTATGATGATTGGTCACTGGAATAACACTGCCTTTCACTTGATCCTCCCTTACGCATTTAGGTTTCCTAAGAAACCTTCCATGGATCTCCCTTGTCCCCCATACATGCCACATCATCATTCTCAATCTAATAATACTAACATTAGGTGCAGAGTACAGTTGTTACACCTATAATAAAATTACAATACTCATTGAAATTAAGCAGACAGAATACTTACTGGTTCTCTTATTTAATAACGCAGTATTAACTGCTGAGGTTATGACAGATCACACAAATGATGGTAGAATATCAAAAGATAATCAAGAGGGATGAGAAATAAGTGTGCATTATTGTTTCGAAAGAATACATACAGGATGATACACGACAAAATGTTAACTTGAGGAACTTCATTCTGAAGTCATTCCAAGTTACAGATGTCACGTGAACATGGGCACAATTCTCATACCTCAATCACCTCCCTGGATTGATCACCTAATCTCCAGATCTCAACCCCCTAAATGTTTGTCTGTGGGGGCACTTGAAAAATCTGGGGTAACAGCAAAAAATGGAAGCACATTCCGCAACGCTCTGTTGCACTCTGGATGCTGCATGATACATGCGCACAATTCAGAAGTGCCAGGATGTTCCTGAGGCTCGAAGTGATCATTTTGAAAATTCATTGTAAATTAAGCAATAAAAACTTTACCTACATACTTGTTTCCCTATCATAATTTTTTAAACATTCAGATATTGATAAATCTGTAACCATGGAGACTGGATCTATGTTTATGTTGACACTTGTGACTGAGAATGACCTCAGGAATAAGATTCTACAGTTACAGTACAAAGTCATGAATCCATCCATCCAGTGCCGCTACAGCCCAAGTCGTGTCATGGCCTCCCTCGGGGTTTTGCCATAATTAGGTTTTATGATGTGGGGTCATTAGCCTCACGATCAACCCCCAGCAATCCTGGAGGACTGATGGGTTGCTTCTTCGTGTGGTTTCTCGCCACCAACCTGCCCAGCTTTTGCAGCCCTGCCAGTATAGGTTGGTAGGTCATTGAAACACAAGCTTCACCACCACGTCAAGGTCGCATAACTCATAGGTGGAGAAAATCACGAATCACCGCATATATATATTCCTTACAAAGCAATGTTACGTGTCATCTCGCAATTTTTGTCCAAATTTCGCAGACACCATTATAAATATAAAAACAGACAACAAAACTGTATTACAAATATTATCCTGGCTTTATTTATGAGATCTAAATGGTAACAACTGGCGACTATAAATTCTCATTTTGAAACAAGAAAATGGGAGACTGAGGTTACACGGTTCTAAAAATTGAAAAAATTATGCCTTGTTGAAAAATGTTATTAATTTTTATGTCACTTTCGTTCTATAGTTCTTTCTTCCATGGTAAACATGGAGGAAACGCTACTGATGTGAAAAAAAAGGTTACAATTGCATGGTATTAAAGTTTCTGCAAGTTCCTTTCTCATCGTCGCAAAAATTACTTTGACACATAACAATAGAATTATGAACAACACAGTAAGTTTTTATATAGTTTATTTTCATACAAAATAGTGCGGCTTCTTCACGGTGATTCCGTACTCAGCAAGGGCAGGCGTCAAGTCTTCCATGGTGAGGGTGTATCGACGATCCTTCCCCTTGCTTGTCTTGCTTATCTGAGAGGCTCCCCTCGTCTTACAGTGCTGCAGAGCATCATTAGCAACATCTGATACAAATTTCTGAGCAGCCAGTGACACCAGACGAATTCTGCGCATACGACAAGTTCACAGGTTTTTATGGATTTTGTGCACAAACCGCACAAAATAATCACATAGTGGAGAGGTTAATATGCCCATCCGCATGTTAAATCTCTGAAATCATCAGATTTCAAAATATTTGGTACTGTGAAATCTTTATAATAGTATAAATTGTATTTGTATAACATGTATTGTATTATTATGACTCATTCCCCATCCTAATGTCATCTGACTAACGAATGGATCAATGGAATGTAATAAAGATGTATGATGTTTGTGTGATGCTTCAGTACCTTACACCGCACACAGCTACGTCAGTTTTTCACTGTTGTTTTCAACAAAAGCACTGCTATAAATGACATGCATCTGCTGATGAATCTCCAGTGGCCGACACCCCTCCGAACCCAAAAACTTAATCAGAGCACACTGATCTTGCTTGGATAGAATGGAATCTGATACACCATATTTTTTAGTTGCACTAATGCTTACAATCCAAATAAGTGATACCTTATCCTACACCTCTAACGAGGTCATGACACAGTATTCTCAACTGCCGCGCTCCATCCTCATATATGACAATTTTCAGATATTTAAAGTCCGTAAATTATAATGTTGCAATAATATGTTTTGCACTATGTTCTATAATGATTCCTATTCAGAAGGAAGCACCATAAACTCTTTCCATAACTTACTTATGGGGTACTTTAAAACCATACAAATAAAGTTTCACCAAACATAAGAATGAATGAATACCATTTTCTAATGAATACATACATCCTTGGATCTGACGTTTCAAATCCAGCTGACTGCAGATGGAAGGCGGTGACTGCATCTGGGATCTGGGGGGGGAAAAAACAAGCTATAATCCACATACAGTATTAATTCTACCTGGATCCAATTACACTATTGTCAGAAACCTTCAGAATTGAGTACCAATTCTGTCTGTACATCCTCCTCATTTAGACAGATAAAGTACTCACCATTGTATTTCACATTCATTTATCAATCATACCAGTAAAGCCTTCAAGTTTGAATTTCCACCCTTAATATTCTGAAAACTCTCGTATAGTAACAATTTCTTCAAAAACATCTCCACTGAATGTTAATTTTCACATATGAAATTTCAGATTCTCACTGTGATGAACATAAAGATGATTGTCTTCTATAATGTTGTGCATGCGGTCTGACAGACATTTCAGAGGAACATACTGCCTCAACTTACAAGACACAACCATCTTCATTAACTTTTACAGACAGTTAAATGACATGCAATACTTTATAAGTAAAATGGATAAGAAACAAAAATAAGCTTAAATTGTGATTTCTGATCTGCTGAGAATAAAGCAGCAATTACCTTTCAGACTGAAGATACCTAATGGCTAGGCTACCTTGAAATTACAATGCGGAGCCAAGTTTTCACAGTCATATTTTAGCCACATCTGGACTAAATATGCACACATCCAACTGGGATACTGGGAACAACCCGTTCTTCAAGTGCCTGAGCACCGCGGGTCCCAACTTTTCGTTGGCTTGATCTATAGACATTCGGTAGGACTCCTTGGACGAGTGATCGCCCCGTCGCAAGGCCTCTACCTGTACACAGGACAGCACAACACAGAAAAACGCGGACAGACATCCATGGCTTGAGTGGGATTCGAACCCACGGTCCCAGCGACCACACGGCCACTGTGGACCCCGCATGCATCAAACGTTAGTTAGTTAGGTGGTGTTTTTTTATGATGAAGATTTAGATAGCTTCCACTTCTGAATCAGAATTGTTGACTTTTGTCCACAAGCAAAGGGGCATATTTTCAAAAGTGTACTAGTCCAGTGACTGATTATTTAAATTGTAATTTGTAGCAAATGGGGCTATGTATATCAACTGCCTAGACTTCTTACTGTGGGGATGTAGTCCTCCAGCTGTTGCAGAAAGTCAGACAAGGGTTGTCCAGCTGTCCTTCCATCCCCTGCACCTGATAATCCTAACTCATTATTAGTTGAAATGGGAGAAGCATCTAAAGCATGGTGATTCCCATCTCCAATGTTCATGTTTGAAGAATTCATCCTTCACTGGCAACTTGCAGGTCGCTCGTCACAAATGTCTGTGATGAAGGAAAAGAATGTGTAGATTATAAGCAAAACAATCTTAGCTTGAAGATCAATACTGGAAGTGGCAAATTGTTAACCTAACCTAACCTAAACAAACAATAATTTAAGAAGTGGAAGAAATATTTGGTATATAGCTCAACTGCTACGCTGTTCGGACATGGCTTCCAGATCTGCGCACACAGATGGAGTGTGGGACAATGTGATGACATATTTTAAACATCTGTGCACTCAAGGTCATGTGTTTTATTACAGTGATACAGCTCGACCAAGTAATTCTATGTTGAAGCATCACATTGCACTACGCATCTTTTACATTCTCTGTCTCACACACAAAAAATACCAATCAGGCATTGTATTTAAACCAGACTTGAAATATTTGTTGTTACAAGTCACAAGTTCTAAATTGAAACAGCACACTATACGTGTATCATACGTGAAAAAAAAACTAGATTAGGGATGTTGTATTGTTTTATTCTTCCAGAGGAATCTTAAAATAATTTGGAGAACTTCACTTGGGATATTAAAGGCCTAATGAAGGAACAGCCTTTATAAAACCTGATAAATATGTCACATTACTCTTGGGCCCTGTAACCACACATTTCACATGTTTTCAGTCCTCCACCATGGAGAACTGCAATGGCACTGTGATAATTCCCCTAAAGGAATTGCTAGTTTCAAGATTATTCTTCATATGCCGTAGATATCATTTAGCATTTAACGAGTTGACATGATGAGTATGAAATATGTAATAAAAATGATGAGGATAAGGAGGGAGTGAGTAAAAGAATGAAAAAAATAAGTCACTTGGAGTGGTCACCTCCTCAATGGAGGAAGAAAGAGAATTTGAAGTTACAAGCAACTTGGAGATTATACACACATTATCCGTGTGTTATACACAGCTTATAAAAAAACTTCAACCCACAATCTGTTTTATTACTAAGTAATTCTGACACAAAAAATAACACTTAAAAATGAAATGTACAAAAAATAAAATAATCATACATGCATTTCCTTAAGATACAAACTTTTAATCATGTTCATTCCTGCATCCATATTACAGCTCCTAAGTTTCGTATCTGTCAATCCAAATTTCAAATCCACACTTTTAGTGTTTCTTTTTTAACACGAGGAAATTTGTTGCTGCAAGTTTCAAACAAATGTGTAGTAGAAATATACACCTGAATTTTGTGGGTCTATCTGTGCACCTTCCAAAAATCACTCAAGAGTGCTGATATGCATGAGACATGAATATTAACGTACAGAAAATGTTTAACAAAAGAATACTTAAAACATCATATACATACACACGAACGCCAAAAATATCTTACACAGATGTGAGCTCAACACAGTACATAAAAGTATTCGTTATCACCTGACGAGGATAAAAGAATGAAATCTGTAATAACCAAAAGGCCCCGGGAGCTATACATGCATTTTTTCTGGTTCCGCAGTAGAGTGCATCTACTTTCCCTCAATGAAGGACCTCACTCCAGTGGAGTATTATTATTAAAGAATTGAAATGTTCCTATTTCTGCTTTTCAAAAGGCTGAAACTTTGAAACACTATTACAAAAAATAAACTGTACTTTCGGCAATGTTTAATTCTCACAAAAGTTATTCTGTATTTTTTACTACTGTCAGCGTTGTCTTCTTCTGCGGACAAGTGACACAGTATCTCAACCAAGTCATGACCTGAGCATTTTTGGCATATGTTATATATGTATATGAGTAACACTAAATATTTTATAAAATCTTTGGTGTGTGAACACAATATTAACAATGCCAACAAACTTTGTACAACAGTTTCTACTAACGTATACAATACAGACTTAACTGATGTTTTCCAGCTGTGTTCTACGCCACTGCAACCTCACTTTGTAATGTTATGAATAAAATTGAACCTTGTACTGATAAGCGTTTGAACTCCCTGAATGGATTGGGGGGAGGGGGCCAGATCATTGTACAGAACAATACAGATGAACATCCAAGCTCTTAGAAGACTTTAAACCCACAGCCTGTTTCAGCATCCCTAGACCACACAGCAACAAGAATTTGCAATGTGGGATATATTTAAAATGAAATGTGTGCATTATATAAAGCATAACGTCCATCAGACAACAGAGACTAACACCTATTTATAAACATCAACTATTAATCAGTCAGGATGGTAGTAATATATAACATTATCACTGAATTCAAAGCACTGATAAAACTAGTTCATCAGAGTACAGTGTGTCTAAACAAATCCTGCACACAGGTAAACATTTGTCTGATGTATTTCTATTCAGAATAGTCTGAAACAAAAAAATGCTCATCGCCACTGCTTTTCAAATTTGTTTTAGAATACACCATCAAGAAGGTCCAGGTAAACAAGACAGATTGGAATTTAAGTCCAAGCTGGACGATGCCAAATGTGTATAAGAAAAATAGTTGACGGTGGAACCACGGTTCCGGAGAATCTGACGTAAATACGTCTCTGTATTTAATTTATATTTACGTCTCTGTAATGTAATGTAATGTTATCTTCAATGTCATCCATCTTGTTACGAAAGCGGATTGTTGACGGCAGTAATATAACACGACAATACCGAGTAAACAGATGACGTTTCCTAGGTAACATAACCTACAGTTTTTACAAGCACAAAATTACCTAGTCCACGACGCACTTCTTCCACAAACGATTCACAGCTCAGCTCTTGCCACAATAACGAAAGTAATGTAACACAACAATGCCAAGTAAACAGATGACGTAACAATTAGAGTAAACAGATGACGTTTCCTAGGTAACCATCTTAAACATTTTTCTGTCGCTTTTTCGTTACACTTTTTTGCGGAATGACACTGACCCTTCCATATAGACGTATTTACGTCAAAAACTAACAAGGATCTACATAATTTGTACTTTCACCAAATATTATTAGGATGATTAAATCAAGGAGGATGAGGTGGGTGGGACGTGTAGCAAGTATGGGAGAGAAGAAAAATATATGGAAAATTTTGTTTCAAAAGCCTAAAGCGAAGAGATCCCCTGGAAGATCTACGTACAGATGGACGTGGAGATGTAAATACCACAAGGACCTCCCAACACTTAATCTACAGCTCTGGTATTAAAACAAGCTTGTATTTGACACTATAGTAAATGAACGCTGAGAATTTTTATATTCTGAATATAACCAACACCAAGGATCAGCGTCCTTCCTCAGAAGCTAATTGTCACTCCGTTTGAAAAAAGTATTACTCACCTTTCATGGAACTTGGAGGTTCATTAGTGTATTCACAAATGCCTGACAAACCCAATCCCAGAAACTTAATTTAATATAAGATTATACTCGGTACCTACCAAACTGTGATCTATGAAAGGACAAGTCCTGGAAAATGTTTCGCAAAGTACGCAGAATCTGAGAAAATTAAATCAAAACATCGATTCTTTGAACTTACCCACAATGAGATTTTTATGTAAGTGGCGGAACACACGTGCTGGAAAGCATTACGTTATTCATAAAACATGTGTAAATCTTTAATTACAAATGAATTATACCGATAAGAAGTTGAAAGTCGGCACATCAACACAATATATTTTGATTACCATATCAGCCAATTCTTTGGTACATTTCTAACTCATTTTTTGCTGTACTGGCCACTTAATAAAGATGGTGAAAATATGCCACTTTTGCTGTACTTTTTTACAATTCAAGTTATAAATTCGAGTCCTTTAAAAATACACACAACTTAAATGGGCATATACAAACACAAAACACAATTCAGTGTGGATAGAGTATGTATTTTATAATCGTTATGATCCAAAAATGCCCAAGATAAAGTAAGGCATTTTGTAAAGTCTGTATTACAGTGAATAATAAATAACAAATCCAATAAAATATGTCCTAAACATGTTAAATACCCTATCAATATTTTAGTTTCATGTGATATGAAAAGCAATGGGATATTTTACGACATGGGACATAATGCGTCGTTCAAGACCAATGTCATGTGGTCTAGAAATATTCAGAGATGCAGGCATACGAACAGTCTAAGCTCTAGTCAAGAGTGGATAGCAAATCCCCAAATACTGAGGCCAAATAAGAACAGAAAGACGACGTTACATAATTCAGATACAAAAATTCAATACATGTTACGTGAATTTAAATTTTGCTTTCTCCCATTTTCTGCAATAAATCCTGTTCAAGAGGTAAACGTCACAATCTTAAAACAAATACAGGCATGCCTCGTTTTACTGCGCTTCGCAGATATTGCGTTCTCTTAAAAATTGAACGTTTGTGGCTACCCTGCGTCGAGCAAGTCCATCAGCGCCATTTTTCCAACAGCATGTGCTCACTTCGTGTCTTTGTGTCACTTTTTGGAAATTCTCGCAATGTTTTTTTAGACATAATGCTATTGCGCACTTAATAGACTACAGTGTAGCGTAAACATAACTTTTATATGCACTGGGAAACCAAAAAATTATTGTGACTCGCTTTATTGCGGTGGTCTGGCACCGAACCCGCAATATCTCCGAGGTATGCCTGTAGCTTAAGGTGCAAAAGCCACTTCAATCTTCTACTCACTGTTTCACAGAGCAGAGCCACTCGGACCAGTGGTTTTGTGCAAAAACAGTACATAGTAGAGAAATGCCACATCTGCAATTTTCTGCAGTCTTTTCGACTTGCACAGTTCTGTTTCAGAAGGGAAGTCATTAGTAAAATACCGTGTGACTGTGTGGATAAATGAGTGTCTCTAAGGACAGGAAAAATCACACAAGGGATGAATTCCAAAAAAATGCATTTAAAAGGGCATAAGAATTTGATTTTTAAGTGAGGGATTAACAGAATCATAGAATTAAACACTAGAAAGAAAAGTATTTTTCACGCAAAATTCTACACTGCAGATTTAGTGCTGCTACTCAAGTATCACTGGTTTTGCAAACACTGGCACACTAAATGAATAGTGCGGCATCTTTCCATTCAAAACTTGGTGCTGCTGCTTGCGGATGTTCGCAGATGACTCTCCAATGTGATCAAACCAGTGCAGCAAGATTTCAGCATCTGATGGGCAGGTATGAACAAACGCTGGTTCTGAATAAGCAGCATGGAGGTACCGCCACAATCCAGTCAAGTTAGCTGGGATCTCGTAACCTACGAAAAAATTAATAACTCCACTTCACCGATAATTGGACCACCGCATTTGTCTGAGCCTTATCCTATTTACAAATTCTGTACAGTTTGTATGAAATGGACACAGTTCACATCTCCATCTGTTCACTCACACAATCTCTGCAAATACTGAATGGATTTCACTGAAACTGGTACTGGGAACTCATAATCAGGGTCAGGTTAATCCAGTTTTCAAGCATACGATATTAATTCCACAGAATATAATCCATTTTGCGATTTCCATTTTATTTAAAATCAGGCTGTTTTTAAATTGATTTCAGTATAATAGTTCCTGTGATATTTTTATTATGAAAAATTGTACGAGCCAGTCAAAGTCCAATATTAAACTGCATCCAGCTTTACTACACACTGCTGATTTAAATCTGTACTCAACAGTAACAGTTTAGGATTGGCAAACTGTGGGACCCATAATCTTTAAAACAAACCTTTGATACCAGCAGCAGCAACGCGAACTTGGTGTAGCTTCGGCAACACTTCGCAATCCAAAAACGATGGTGCAGGACCACAAAGAAACACATTGTTACTTGTATTTTTCAGGTAGCAGTCAATACGACGAAGTTCAGACTCCAAATGGCTTGCATCCTTTGAAACATCACGTACATAGAAGCAAAACCGTGAGAAAAAATCCCTGTCGAACAAGCAGCAGAAAAACGCATTAGAGAAAACATACATCATTAACCCTTTTGAAGTCAGGTTCACCTAAATAACATTTCAAGACTAAGTTCCTCCACAAAGAAAATAAAACACTTCTGCATTTTCAAGAAAAACTGGTCAATGCTGTTTGAGGAAACAGTCATTATTTGTGCTGAGAATCATATAAAGCCCATAAATATACAAAGTGGGCTAAATGGTGACCCACAGATTGTTAAGGCACTGGGCATTAAAGAGTTAAGATATTTAAAGGAGGCAAGAGTGGCATATTTCCATCATTCTACTTACATACAAACTTCACTTAAAATAAGCACAAATGCTTCTTTAAATGTATGTGATGTAGCCTACCTGGTTACTAGTTCTGCTTCTGGGTCTTCTTCGTTCTGTTGCAAAATTCCGCCAGGAAAACGAGATTCCAACAGTGAAACAATATCATCAGCCACATCAACTGGGTCTTCACCTAAACCTAAGTACAAAGCTGGAACTCTTAGTCTTAAACCTAAACGACGGAAAGCTTCGGGTGATCTTGATACATTCACGGGAATAGTCTTGAATTGTGGTAATACCTTTGCTGCAAACTTTAGTTCAGCTAACATGAGAACACGCTGACTCTGAGGGCACGCGCCCAGACTTTTACCATCTTTGCCCGCCTTCACAAATATACTTATATTAGTAGGAGACTGACTCATTTTTCTCGAAATCTTGGTACCTCCAAAAGTTTCAGTCTTCCACCGTGTGTGTTGCTTCACATCGTCCCGAAAGTATAATGTTATACGTTGATTTTCTTGCACTTTACACTTATTAAACACTTACTATATGAGAGATCAAACTTTCTCTCTCAATAAGTACTGGCTGGACGTTATGCAGATGACGTACTGTTAGGCTATTTATACGCAAAACCAGTTCAACGGCTAAAAATAGTTGGGCCACGCAAACGTCTAGTATACAATTTATCATCTTAAAGCATAGCAGGAAAGACACATACTTCCAATATTCTTCCTCAATAAATTAAGCAAGACACCAGTAACACAAAACCACTTACCCGTAATGTGATCGCATCCGGCTTCTACTATTCTGACCGGAACTAACATATTAAATTCAGTTCCTCCGTCGATTCACAGCTCATGAAAAATAAACCACGCAAGATGCATTCTCATGAGCATTCCAAATACGCAATAATTAGATGGATAGTAAATATTTAGTAATCGTTGGAAAATTCGATAATGTATTTGATTTCAAATAATACTTTTCCTAAGAAAAGTATTCTTAAACTCAATATAACAGTACTTATGACATACACAATTCCATTATGAAAAATTAGTTATTATAACTACTTCGAATCGCAAAACTGTCAAAAGTGTTTATCTTACATTTTCTTTCACAGTACGCTTGATTTTGTCAATGATATACATCCGTCACGGAAACATTTGAAACATAATAAACACTAAACAGTAAAAAGGTATAATATTCAATGTTGTGCCCTTATGTAGCAATAACACTCCATCCTGTCTACTTGCCCGTTGTGCTGGTCGTTCGTATGAGGCTTCACATGTGAATGTATTTTAAATTTGTTCTTACTTTTCAGGTGGTTATGGATACAAATAAAATAGCAGTTGTAATAATATCAAAGTTTGCCGTGAAAATTATAACCGATAGAATGATAATCTAAAATTTGACAGAATGACTCCTTTTGATGATATATTGTATATCGTGAATACAATTCTTCTAGGAGAAGAACCAGTAAGTAATGTTACGTGTCTGTGAAGTATTTCTCTTTTGCAAAAAACCATCACCATTATTACTTACATGTACTACAATAGTTGAGAGTTTTTGGGTGATGTAAATTCTTCTGCCAAGTAGGACTGAGATAGGAGATACTCTTTTAATGCTGGCGTAAACATTTTGATTTTGTAATTTAAACTATTGATAGTAAGTGGAAAATTATTGAATAACTTAATTCCAGTATAGTAAACTCCTTCTTGATATTTAATGAGGTTAGAATTTGGCACATGAAGGTTGTATCTTTGTCTTGTTCTTATATTGTGGTAATCTGAATTTGCTTGATATTTTTCCATGTTATCCACTATAAATGATAATAGTGAGACCAAGAATTCGCTGGCTAGTGGAAGAATATGGAACTTCTTAAATAATTCCCTACAAGGCCTCTCCTTTTAGTGCCTGCCATTATTCTAATGATCTCTTTTGAATGTAAAATACTTTTTTGCTGTCTGCTGAATTCCCCAGAAAATTATTCCATGTGACATGATGGAAGTAAGCAAAATAAACTAATTTTAAAGTTTCTGTTTTCATGAGTGCTGTAACTGTCCTCATAGCAAGACATACTTTTGTCTGAAACAAATTAATTTATTTCTGGCTCTACATAACTAGCTAAATAGCTTGTTATGGTTGCTGTAATGTGGTATTTGTTTTGATTAAAAGTGCTCTTAAATTCACCAGAAGTGTGATCTCATGCTTTGGAGGTTTCTTTGTGCTGTTATTTTTATCATGTACACAATTTTTAAACTCATAACCTCAACATTTCACACCACCTCTTTTAACGGTTCAGCCTATAATTTTCTTTCTTATGCATTTTCAGACAATTGAAGACTTTATTTTACTTACCGGAACACTAGTAGCATTCGTCGCGTTCATTCTGTGGTGCTGCTTCCCTGTGGTGCCAAAAGAAGCAAATCCACCCCTGCAGTATGACAGTCGGAATTACATTCAGTACAAGAGGACTGAAACGGGATATGATATCTCGTAGCAGAATATGTGCCTCATGATGGATAAGGGTACGCATATCACAAAAGGGCTACGTCAGCATCCGCGCTCAAACTGAAGTTTGATATTTCAATGATGAAACTGGAGTCCAGTGATTAATATTTCATGGATTTAATTCTGCATCATCACTGTAAGGTTTCTGAATACTTGATTTCAGCAGATGTGACAACTGTAGTACGCTCTCCTGAAATGCAGTCTCGTCCTGTGAGAACTGCAACGCCGCAACTTTCATTGTATTATATTCTCCAGTGCCATTTCTCAAGACTGACAGGCTAGCGTTGCTTCTAATTATGTACTCTATTAAAGATAACAGGGTTGTAAAAAAGACATAACTTTTGGACAAACGTTATTAGTGCATACTTTAAGTTACGACTACACTTCAAGATACTGTTCGTCACAGACTACATAATATCACTTACGTTTTTGTTTTTCTTCCATATTCTGTGTATATATCACGCTATCAGTAAAATGGTTTATACATTTTACCAAATTTGCCAATACATTATATTAAAAATACATTGAATGATGTTGGTCCCCTTTACAACCTCTGTCGTAGTTTAGAGTGATTATAACGTTTCATGTGTTCTTGTAAGTTTTTGTCCATTAAGTCCCAAATACAAATTACAGGAAATGTATGAACAATTGTGGCTCTTTCATCCTCATGTTAGGATTACAAACATTAAGTTTTTATTTGATTTTTCTTATTTTATTCCCAGTGTCAAACACCCCCCCCCCCTCAACTTTTCATAGTGCTAATGTGTTCCAACATGCGAGGATCCAGAAATAAACATTAATGTTTCCCACTAATCAGTTAACAGGCCTCAATTTACATATATTAAAATTTTATGATGAGTTTTTAATATCACCTATAAAAAAACATTTGCATCGAGAATGTGGCTGAATAGAAATTGTTAAGTGGCCAGCATATTTAAGTTGTATTTCTGGAGCCCTGCTAGGACATTTCCGTTTTTCGAAAGCAACATTCACGGAGACTGGCTCCATTGTAAAACTGTAGCCTGCTAATCTCTTTTGTATGGGACATCTGAAATGTTCTGAACCTAGACTGCATTTAGTTCAGCCTCTAACTGCTGTTAGGATTGTATTAGCAGTGTAACTGCCTGGATAGAAAGCTATGCCTTTTATTTTTATAGTTTTCTATGCACATTTTTTGACAGATTTTAATCTTTCCCCTTTGTGGCATTAATTCCTTCTCAGACAAATTCCAGAAAGAGCAGTATAGAACTTAAATTATTTTAACAAATCTTCAAGCAGTCTCTTTTTGGTTAAAATATTCCCTCTCCCCAATCTCAATTCCAAATAATTATTTTTATATTAGTTCTTTCTCTATATTCTTGAGGCCAAAGAAATTTTCCAGCAGACTGGTTAATGTTTAGCCCATTTGCTTACCTTATTAATAGTAAACTGTTCATGTTAATTGCCTTTTATTTTCGTATTTTTTAACGTAAAAATAATTATGACTTTTCCTAAAGTCAAAATTGTCTGTGTTGCTGCTCAAATCAAAGACTGAATTCTAAAGATGCTATTTCTTGACTGTCAGTTAACTCACTTAGGTAAAACTGTGATATCTGTCTCAAGCACACATTTCAGAATTCTATCTCTGTGATAACAAGGTAAGTCAATGGGTTAATCCAGATTCTGTTTTACAGGTCTTACATGCACTGACAAGTCCAGAAAAAACTGCTGGCAGCATAATTATATCAGAATAATTTTCAGTGACTGTAATGACAGACGCTTTTGGTAACAAGGAATAAGAAAACTGAGTTTGTTTTAGTTCGAGGGGTCTTAAAACATGTTACTTGAACCCGTACTGTAAATTTATTGCCCCAGTCAGTAAAGCGCATTTCCAATGTTTAACGGTGTCTTGTGTGTCCAAACTGTTTTCAGTTGGTATGTAAATGTAGTCAAGTTTATGAAACCATGCTGTGCCCTTACGGCATTAAGATTTCTCTGCAGCGATTACAAAACTTACTTTTGATGTCTTGCATGTATGACAATTAGTGAAACTTGATTTTCATTTGTATTCAGTTTTCCTTCCTTTGAATTCTACTGATACCATTACCATTTGATATTAAATAGTTACAAAGCAGAGTGAGGAACTGTGAGTCAATTAAAAAATTACTCAAGTGCGCTAAAATCAAGGACATTTGAAGAGTTTCATGTGTGCAGTCACAAAAAAAAAAGGTCTTTGACATTGTAATAAATTGTGTCCCATCTCTGTTGTAACTTGATAATTCATCATTCTTTGTACCCATGAATATTCTCTTGTATTTCCTACTTCAAGGTCTCTTGGGGGGGGGGGGGGCACTGCGTGTACTCTTACATACAACGTTCAAATTTCTCAGCTTTGGCTGTAAGCCATTTCATTTAGGTGCACAGTTATTCTGACGTGTTTGCTTGAGCCAACAAGTTTATAGCTTTTAAGATACCTCCCACTTGCAGTCTACTAGAAATAATTGTATGTGTAATATTTTGACAATCCTGTATGATGTACTGACATTTTGTTTTTCCACCAGTGTGGGTTTTACTAAAATGATGCTATAAAAGCTCAAGCATCATGTTTGGGACACTTACTTCCTTTATTACACATGTCAGTAGTTGCAATTATTTTGCTGGTTTCCAGACTAGGCATTCAAGATTGAGCTTCCATTTGTTTCATAACTGTTCCTCATAAATTATTGTTCAGTAATGTCTGTGAGAAATGAATTCATATATTATTTGTATTCAACTTAATGGATTACCTGGCTACAGGCTGGACGATCGGGGTTTGATCCCCGAGGGGGGCAGAGGATTTTTCTTCTAGCCTCTGCGTCCAGACCGGCTCTGGGGCCCACCCTGCCTCCTATCAAATGGGTACCGGGGTCCTTTCCCGGGGGTAAAGTGCGGCTGAGGCATGATGCTGACCACTCACCCCCATCTAATGCATCTATACCTCTCTCCCCCCCCCCTCCAAAAAAAAGCACCTACATGGCATATAGTGGGACGGCTTTACTTTTACCTTAATGGATTAGTGTTCAGTGTTGTAAATTTAGTGTTTTGTTAATAAAATAGTTATTCATGTTTACTTCTAAGCATGTATATTTTTATCTATGATTTACATTAACTTACAAGAATATAACTTGTTTTAACTATCAGTAACATATAGTTTTAGGCATGATTAGTCACCAACAATTTACAGGCATCTTTATGGCTATTACAACAGTAAAGCCATCATAAAATTTTATTTGCATTGTCAC